CATAGGTAATATGCAAACAAATGGGGGTGGCTGTGTTCCAATGAAATTTTATTTCCAGAAACAGGTGGTGGACCCACAGGCAATAGTTTTCTGATCCCTGCTTTGTTATATAAACATGAATTTGCTATGGCCCTGAGAGATCACTCAGTCCTTTGCTACTCAAATTGTAAACTGGAGAATAGCAGAATTAGCATCACTTGGGAACTTGTCAGAAATTCAGAACCTTAAGCCATATTCCAGGCCTAACTGAGTCAGTATGTGAATTAGAATATGTTGCCCAGATGATTCTTATTACAGTTTGAAAGACTCTGTTCCATACCAACCAAAACCAAAATCAAACAAATTTACTACCATCTAGTCAATTCCCACTTGTAGTGACCCTATAGGACAGAGGAGAACTGCTCCTTAGGGTTGCTGAGACTAAAAGCTTTGCAGTAGCATACATCCTCATCTTGCCCCTGCAGATCAGCTAGTGGCTTTGAACCATCAGCCTTGTAGTTAGCAGTTCAATGCTTAACTCATGGTTATACAAAAAATATATATAATGCAAGTTATGAATGTATTTTAAAATTTTCAACACTAAAAAAATTTTCAAGTACAAAACCTAAAAGCAACTAATGAGATGAATTTTAATGATTTAAATAATAGATCTAAAATATTGTCATTTCAACATATAACCTAATAGAAAATGCTATTAATGAGGTATTTTTATATTCTTTTTTTTCCGTAAGTATTTGAAACCTTGGTGTATTTTACATGTACAGCACATTTCAATTTGTACTACCTACATTTCAGGTACTCAGTTGTTGTTGTTGTTGTTGGTAACTGCTGTCCAGTTGATTCTGACCCATAGCAACCCTGCATAGAGTTTCCAAGGAGAGACTGGTGAGCTTGAACCACCAATTTTGCAGTACAAATACATAACTTTGCAGTCCAGCGCATTAACCCACAGCACCACACTAGGATTCTATAGTTGCCACGTGCAACTAGATGGTATCATATTGGACAGTACAGGTCTGGGCCACAACAAGTGAAAGAAACCAGGCTGTAGATAGTGACTTTTAGAGTTTTACTCTTAGTCAATTGGCTAATGTGTCAGACTGCAAAGTCATTTGAACCACAAGGTCAGTGGTTCAAGCTCACCAGCTGCTCCATGGAAACCCTATACTGGGTCACTATGGGTCAGAATCAACTTGACGGCACTTAGCAACAATTATGAACACCACATTTTTTAAATTAACTTGTGGGAACTGGCCTTGAAAGTGGTGGCACATAAATTTGTCCTTGGGGACATTGTTTGGTAGGGATTCATTAATAGGGAGGTTTTTTTTTTTCACACTTTGGGGATAAATTTGAGTTAAAGAAAAGTAAGTCAGAACACAAATAGGATGAACAAAGTGAGTGATCATGGTAGCGATACGATTTTTAGTTACAAGAAGTACAAGTAATCTATCAAGAATAATTTTCTATTCCTCATCTATAAATAACGTAAGCTTGTTGTTGTTGTTGTTAAGTGCTGTCGAGTTGGTTCCAACTCACAGCGATCCTGTATAGGGTTTCCGAGGAGCACCTGGTAGGTTTGAACTGCTGATCTTGTGATTCACAGTCCAGTGTTGATCTTACAATGCCACACCAGGAATCCAACAAAGCATTGCTAAATAAATGTCTTGCCAGATTTATATAATAAATAGCTTGTTCTTGTTGTTGTTGAATGCCCTCAAGTAAATTCCAACCCATAGCGACCCTGTATAGGATTTCCAAGGAGCAGCTGGTGAGTTTGAACCGCCCACCTTGCAGTTCAAATGGCTTTGCAGTCTGGCACATTAACCCACAGCACCAAACCAGGACTCTAATAAATAACTTAGATCACTTAAAAATAACTTCTTCCTAATACCAGAGTCTTGGTGTGGTGCTGCAGGATAATGCGCTGGACTGCAAGGTCAGTTTGAGCCACAAGGTTGGTGGTTCAAACCTACCAGCTGCTCCTTGGAAACTCTATACAGGGTTGCTATGAATCAGAACCGACTCAATGACACTTAACAACAACAATAACAAAACTATCTGAATTTTTGTTTTTAACACATAGTTAATTTTATTAGCTAAGTTTATATTTCATCTGTGGAAACAAATCTGCCATAAATCTTGTATAGTAACTTTTTTTTTTTTTTAATGTGAAAAACAGGTATAGTTTCCCTTGTTTTTCTGTCTTTGGATATGTCAAGATTTTTTTTTTTTCAATATTTTGAATATAAGATGTGCTTAGGTGTGGCTTTCTTTGCATTTATCTTCTTTAGGGTTTACTGTTGTTGTTAACTCATAGCGACACTGCCCTGGTGGGTTATGCGTTAGGCTGGTAACCTCAAAATCAGCAGCTTGAACCCACCAGCTGCTCTGTGGGATAAAGATGAAGTTTTCTGCTCCTGTAAAGATTTACAACCTCAGAAACCCTATACAGGGTCCCTATGAGTCCATGCCAACTTGATGACACACAACCAACCAACCAAGGGTTTACTGTTGTTGTTAAATGCTATCAAGTCGGTTCCAATTCATAGTGACCCTTTGTAGGGTTTCCTAGGAGCAGCTCATGGGTTTGAACCATAAACCTTGTGACTAGCAGTGCAATGCTTATCCTACATTGCTACTTTGGTGGCTGACTGTTTATTGTTGTTGTTAAGTGCCATCAAGTCAGTTCTGACTGATAGTGACCCTGTATAGGGTTGCCAAGGAGCAACTGGTGAGCTTGAACTGCTGATCTCGCAGTTCAAACTGACCTTGTAATCCAGTGTATTCATCCTCAGCACCACAACAGGACTCCAACTGTGTATTTTGGAAAATTCTTGGCCATTAGCTCTTTGTATATTTTTTTTTAATCACTTTTTTTTTGAAACTCCAGTTATATATATATGTTAGCCTTCTTTATATTATTTCGAAGACTCAGATCCTATTGCAGGTTCTTTTTTTTTGTTATTGTTGTTCCTGTTTTTTTTCAGTTTGAATAATTTCTCTTGACCTGTCTTCAAGATTATTGATTCCTTCTTTCCTCTTTTCTGTTTAGTCTGTTAATTCCATAAAAAGTATTCTTCATTTCTGTTACATATTTTTCATTTCTAGTATTTCTATTTTAAATAGCTTCCAACTTTCTAGTAAAGTTCTCCAATTGTTCATGCAGATTAACTAGATCTACTAGATCTTTTAATATATTTATTAAGATTATTTTCAAGTCTGTCTGATCATCTAGAATCCAGGCTTTATCTGTATCTTGTATTGACTGTCTCATATTTTCTTGTTTCCTCACATGTCTTGTAATTCTTCAGGTTTTCTGCTTTTTTTTTTAATTGTGAATTGGGTACAAGCTTACAGAACAAGTCAGTTTCCATTAAAAATGAATGCCCATTTTGTTTCATGTCATTGCTTGCAATCTCCACATATGTTATAATTCTTGATGGAACCCCAGACAATTTGAGTAAAGGAACAGAAGAGCTTAAAACAAATAATATGAGGATGAGTCAAATTGTTTTGCTTCTAGGATTCCACTGCATAATGTACTGTTTTATCCCCCAACAAAATGTGTTTAAACTTGTATCTGTGAACAGTAGATGGCTGCAGACAAGTTCTCGCAGTAATACACTTGTCTTAGACTCATTAGGGTGCCTTCAAACAAAAGATCCTATCAAAACAGTGGCTTTCAAGGAGATCTGCTAGGTTAGTGACATGCACTGCAGAGAAGCCAACTCAGAGGGTAATGGCAAATGTCTTTTGGATTCCAAAGTGGTCATCTGGATAGATTTTCTTGAAGGACACAGGATGATCACAGGGGTGTATTAGGAAAAAGTTTTAAGAATATGGAAAACTGTATTGAGAGGAAAAGGTCAGGAAAGTTGTTCTGAAGAATGTTTTCCCAACAGAATATCATGGCCATGCTCCTGCACAGTCTTTGAGGGTAGCAAGGGCTGTCTTAAGAGAATTGCATTGGGAAACCTTAGCCTATTCATCTTAAATCTCTGCTTTTGCTACTTCAGACTCAGAGAACGTGTAAAAAGAACAAGATTTGAGTCCCTTGAGGATGCCCAAATTGCCAGTTTGGCATGGTATAAATCAAGAGCGCAAAGTTCTTTGAGGAGTGTTGTTGATAAGTGCTGTTGAGTCGGTTCCAACTCATAGTGACCTTGCATACAGTTTCCG